GCGACATGATGGGAGAGAATGAACAGAGAGAGAGGAGATCAGGATTTGAGATGGGGAGGAGACGAATGGATCGTACGTATTGAAGAGGAGGAGAGAGACGATGAAAGAGAGTAAACATAGTGACAGATCAAAAAATGGACCGAGCGTGAGGGGCCGGGGAACTGCTAAAAAGAATAAATGAGGAAAGATCTCCCTGAATGTAGTACTAAGGCGTATGGCGAGCGGTCGGAAAAAGATAGATAGATAGGATGGAGAGAGGGGAGAGAGAGGGGGGGAGATAGAGAAAGAAAGAAAAAAAAAAAAGAAAAGAGAGAAGAGAGAGAGAGAGGGAGGAGAGGGGGGGAGAGAGAGACGGAAGGACGGAGAAGGTGGATGACAGATATAAGGAGGATTGGGGGAGAGAAAGGGAGAGGAGACGTAAAAGACAGAGATAGAAAACGCCAAAGTGAAAGAGCCAAAGAGAAAGAGAAAGAGAGAGAGAGAGAGAGAGAGAGAGAGAGAGAGAGAGAGAGGAGAGAGAGAGAGAGAGAGAGAGAGAGAGAGAGAGAGAAGAGAGAGAGAGAGAGAGAGAGAGAGAGAGAGAGAGAGAGAGAGGCAGGGAGGGAGCATCGCGAGTTGCGAGTAAAGGGAAATGTCATGCTGATAATGCTCACCGCGATTTAGGCATCACGTACGGTTGCCCTTCGTTATAATGCTAATGAATGTTGATATAGCCTGCTCCTAGCAAGACACAATATCGCTTTAGAAACGTCTGTATTTTTACGTCACTGATCTCTTCCTTCTCCTTCTATTCAATGGGTCAGGGAGCGAGAAGATGCTGATATAAAAAGGCGGACAGAATGACAAGTATGAATGGAAAGATGTGAAGGAAAGATGCGAAGGTTGTGTTGGCCGTTCTAGGATGTGTCGATGGAAGCGAAGGTTAGAAATAGACGTTTTGTGAAAGAGGAAATGGAAAGAAGAAAAAGGAATGGAACTGTGATTTTTAGTTCATGGGGAAATAATAATACAATAAGACTGGAAATATTTTTTTCGTAAATTGATTTTAAAAAAAGGGTGAACAGAATTGGAAAATGAGGTCTTTGTAAGAGTTTTTCCCAGAGAGGAGAAGCAGAGTTTAATATGTCATGTTTTTCATTGCATACATATTCATAAGGATCAGGAACAATTCTCACTAATATCTGGTATCTTCAAACGTCATCAATACCAATCATAAGAATTTAAGGATAAAACGAGGGCTTCAGAACATGCAGAAAATACATACGAAAATACATATGATACCTCAAGGGAAAAACCCAATTGCTATCTCAAACAGCGAATGAGAGGAAAACATGATCATTTCGCAAGACTTGTACTTTGGCTGCCTGTCAAGAGATTCTTCGCTACATAGCGACCACCGAAAACATTTGTAAAGGAGAGAACTTCAAAGGTGATGCTAATGTTTCCAGATTTCATAAAATGAAGTCGTATACCACGCCGTTTGTCAGTCCTCTAATGTGTAATAGAGTTGTTGAAAAATCTATGGAAAAATGTCATCCTTTGGTTAGCATTTTATCCATCCTGGTGTAACTGCTGACGTCAAGCCAAGCAAAATGGACCACTGATTCTCTCTTGCTGTCTCAGGCAGATACAGTGTATGCAGAAGATGCATGTATGCCACTCGAGATTTTTCACTGACGTGCATAAGAAGAAATGTTATGCCAAGGGTGATAGCAAGGTTAGAGAAAACGTTATTTTTGTACCTTGATGAGGGACCTATAAAGATTCCTCATTAATAATAAATGAAATGCTAATTCGATTCCAATTGCTGGTCATGTTCGATCTTGGTAAAGAAAATCTGATTTACTATGCTCTTCCCTCTCTCACTATTCATGGTCAGGGAAGGAGGACGCAGGTTGAACATGTGTTTGTGGAACTTATGCAAGACTTATTTTAAGTAAATAATGTTCATTAAAACAAAAAAATGTTTACTAAAGTTCGAGAAAAAATGAGAAATCTATGATCTTTATGCTAACCAACAAAACATAGACTAAAGCTCTACAAGGCAAAAGGAAAGAACTGAAAAAATCTGACGACAGCAACAGAATTTGGAACAATATATGATAAAGATACATTGCCCAGGTATTTCTTGCTATGGTATATGTACAAAAAACTAATTGAAATCTACTCTAGAATAATCTTTAGCCTAAATATTATTTATTTATCTTAAATGCTTAGACTTATAAAGTTGGAAAAAGAAGGTGAATAATAGTTGTTGAAAGGTTTTCTGAAAATCTGAAGGGTTAAATGGACAAGAAAATTTAAAAAAAGGAAAAAAAAAGAGAAAAGACAGATGTTTTACTAAATATTTCTGTTAGGAGAAATGTACTGAAGGAATTTGTTGAAAGTAAACAAGCAAATCTAAAACATTTACATTAGACCATCCATTTCAGCCCACAAAAGTAACAAAAAACTATCTTTCAGTAATCTGCTGTAACATTGCCAATAGTAAACAGAAGATGCACATCAATAAAAAAAAAGTAGACCGTAACGATAAAAACTCCTATTACACTTTAAAATGGAAGGTGATTTTACTCTTTACCACACACACAAATTACTAGCAAAGTGTGAGATCATGATTAAGCTCAGTCACTCTTGCTCAAATGCTGCTCAGAGGTGTAAGAAGCTCGTATTACTAAAACTTTACAGTTGGCATCTCAGGTTACCATCCCGAGTTCATTAGGATTTTTGCTTGACAGATACTACTGACTTGATAAAAAGACTAAGAGTTTTTTGTAAAAGTAAAAAATCTTGTGGATAGGTTTTTGCTTGTATGAACTTTGGCATTTATTTTTTTTAATATATCAAACCTTGTACTTTGTAATTTATGAGAATCACAGATGCGTACACTAAATAAAGCAGTCCCAATGACTGTACTATAAGACACAATAAATGTACCCACAACTAAATATGACCAAAGTCATAATGATATCTATATGCCTACACAAATTTCAAAGACAATCAAAATGCAAACACAAATACCTGTACACTCATGCACAGTAACGGCAACAACCCACATCCAAATCTATTATTACAAAACAAACTTGACAGAGCTTAATTAGATATAAATCATAATTATAAAGCTTGCCATAGCATCAAAAGGGATGTGCAGTGCACATCTCTTTGAAAAATATAATGCTGAAATATTTCCATAAAAAATTCATTACTTGATAGGCTTCAACAATCGTACACAGTAACTTATAATAGAAACCCTCATGTTGGATGCCCAAGCAGAATCAAATTAACAATATACTGGAGCATCATGCACTTAAGACACTTTTCCAAGGATCTGAAAGGTTTGGTACTGTTTTTATTTTGTTAATTGGCAACACAAACAATCATCATTCAAAAAAACTGAGCAATGTACCTAGTACAAAAACTACCATACCTTTCATTGCCAATACAAAGACTAAACCATTACCTTTCAAAGTGCCATATGATATGGCTTGTCAGATCAACTAACATGAGATACAGCCATCACTACTTCTCTCTTCTGTTATATAGTAAATATAGTGACCGCACACTAGACTTACTTTGTAATAGCATTCTTTATAGGTTTGATGACAACCAAACCATTCCTAAGATAATTGAAAAAGAAGATTATTGTAAATACTTTTACCATACTAAAAAAATACATAGCATAGAGAAACGTAAATGCTTTGTCTGAATTAAATTACAGATGTATGTCTTAAAAGTGAATGGGGAAGCGACATGACAAAGAAGTAACATGACATAAAGGCCAAACATAGGAGGAAACCCAATGTTTCATTACGCATAAACAGTTGCAAAACAAGAGTTTATATGAGAAGTTATGAATGTATCTCATTTACCTATAGATGAAGATAAATTAAATTTGGCTTTGAAAGAAAGGGAGACAACTATTTTCTAGTTTGTTTCAAAATAACATGAAAAAAAAATGGTGGTTATTGGTCAATGGTTACAAAGCAAAACAAATGTGTTGAACATCAGTGGTCATATAGCACTATAGAAAGGTGTGATAGGTAAAAGGATAAAGACAGGAGTTAGTTGATGATTAAATGTGCTACTTGTCAGAAATTGTATAGCAGTTCAGGTAGGTAGGGATTAACAAGGGTGATTAGATCAAAGCTGTCAAAGGATGAAGTGTGGGGTTTTGCAAGGATGTAATATAGGATTTAAAAAAGAAGAACATTTTTCGTGAAACTGTGATTAGATCACAGTTTCACGAAAAACGTCAGGAGGGAGAGAATCCAGGGAAAGGGGTTGTTGTGACAAAGGGCCACATGTGTATCCAGGGAGAAGCAGGAGGGATACTGGGGAAGGAAGGGGGGATGATACAGCTGAAACAGAGGGGAATGGGATATTCTGGAAAGGAGTGAGAGTAAGGGTTGTTGGGGAAACATGAGTTGGAGGAGGATGAATGTCAGCAGTTACTTTGAGTGTTGAGGGAATAAGAGCAGAATAATTGGAGGATGGATGAAGTGTAGCATTTAGCTAGTCTTGTGCAAGAGGGAAGGGGGGTAGGTACCATAGAAGTAGTGATTGGTCTGAAATTGTGGTGAAGATTGGGATGTCTGGATTTAGAACAGCAAAAGATTTTGACTAAGAGAGGGAGGGGGTAGAACTGGGATGAGGAAGAGATACTAGGGGAGATGTAGTAACATCTTGAGAGGACAGGAGAGGGGCAGAGCAAAGGACATTATTGGAGAAGGGAATAAGAGAAAAGCCTAGTCTGCATGCTTCTTCTCTAGTTTAGCGTAAGTGAGGCAAAGTTTAATTCTGAGAATTGCCACAGACTCTAATCCGTAGGTAGAGCAGTACCAATAAAATACAGTATGGGAGCTACCACAATTGGCATACATGTGACTGTGCAGAACAGTTTGATTATGATCAGTTAGGCACATAGAGGGCATCGGACTGTGGAATGGCAGTTTAGCAGGATGGCCTAGGTGCCAACAGTTCTGACATTGACTAAGGGAGGTTAATATGGTTGGACAGAGAGGGATTCTCTGCCAATATAAACTTTAAGGGGGGTCATGTTTACAGAGAGTAATCTTGGCAATATTAGTGGGAGATTTACGATGGCCTCTAGGGGGAATGCTGTAGCACAGCCCATGAGGCAGGTGAGGAAATCTGACTAATCCTTGTCATAAACAAGTATTGAGGGAGGGATGAGGTTGGGCAAGAATGGGTTTGCCAGTGAAGTCAAGAGGTGATAAAGCTATAGTTTAGGATTCAGGTGTAACTGTGACAAGGTGGGAACAACCTGGGTGGCTACAGAAGTAAACTTTGCCGACTTGTTTTTGGAGGCATTGCTGGAAGAGTGTGTTGTCAGAGTAAGAGGCTGTGAGGGGGGGATTATTAAAAACTGATCCCATTTGGCTGAGTTAAACAGTCTGAGTATTCAAGATGTTTGTGGAGGTGGGGGTAGTAGAAGGACAGGGACGTGCAGAAGAGGCAGTAGTGTTGAGAGAGGTTGTGCTGCAGAGAGGTGGACAATAAGGCTGCATATAAGGAATAATAAGTAATAATAATAATAAGGTAATAAGGTAATAATAATAATAATAATAAGGAAATAAGGGAGGATATGGTAGTTGATGAAGAAAGTTGTGGCAGTGGAGGAGATGAAGCAGAGGATGTTGGGAGAGGAGGAATGTTTCTTTGAAAACGAGTATTAACCTGGATGGATGATTTGGATTGGATTGAAGTGATGTAGGTATTGAGGAGGTAATAGTAACTGTGTTTTGTCACGGTCAAAAGAGCCTTTGCTTGGAAAACCAAGATTTGAAATCAGTGGGCAGGGGAATGCCTGGAATGAAGTCCTCTAATTTATATGGTTTGGGGTGAAGTCTCTTCTTTACGCAAAACCTAGAGTATGTTGGGGATAGAAAAAATCCACTTTTCAGGGTCCTCTTGAGAGGCAAGGGCTACACAACTGAACGGGAATACTTTGCCCATAGCTCCCCTAGGCCATTCATGACAGACAGTCAACCTTTCATCCTTTCAACATGCCTCTCACACTTTAGGAAGTGGATAATAGAAGGGAGTTGGAGAAGAGTAGGAAACAAAAAGGGAAAGGGGAAAAGACCATGCAAAATTGGTTGAGTCAGGATTGAAGCCTAAGGTAGGGGTGATCCCCGGCATTGGGTCCCAGTATCTGCCTTCTATGCCTCCCATGGGATTTGGGGTGTGAGGGGGGGGGGGTTAAAATACTGATCTTCTAAAATTAAGCCCCAACCAAACTTTCTTTGCAAAGTAAATAAAAGTACAAATTCACCCAATCAGATTGTATACAGTGGATAACTTCAGACCAATGCCATACAGCACTGATGTATCCAGAGCAGAGCAAAGGTAAAAAAGAATAAGTCACTGCATTCTTAATCACATTTGGATATATCTAGTCTCTATGCTAAAAGTTTAAGATTAACAAGTGAAAAGTATGTGGATTCATAAATTATGATTCTTCATGTAGAAAGGTAAGAATGAGAATAAATATCTTCACAATGCAAGAGATTATTTGACCGGTTTTGAGTATATCTTTGTCAGAAATACATGTATTTCTCAGAAAATTATTTTCAAAATCGGTCAAATACATCTCTTATATTGTGAAGGCATTCATTCTCTTTCATACCTTTCTACATTTGTCAACATCAATATAGTTCATGATTCTCCATCTACAAAATACAGAGTAATGTATGGTATAACAATTTGAAATAATGCTCTAACAAGTTACAAAGAATAATATTCTGTAATCATAAGTAAGAAACTAGGAGGAAGGCAGTTGATTTCCCATTTTACCTAAAAATCAACAAAATAGAGTAGGTGCAAAAGTATTACATATTTCACACTTTCACATCTTTAAGCAGTAGAAATTACAAACCTAAATCTTGAAATACATCTAATAGCATGCTCTAGTTTTTTTTTCAATATCTAATTCTAATGCATAATCAGATATGTAAAACCAGAATGACAGAAATCAGTTTAATATAGAATCTCCAGAAAACCAGATCCTGTAACAATATTTTAACTCAAAGGCTTACATATTGTAATTGCTATAATTGGGTTACTCAGATATCACAAGTTGATTTACTAATAAATCATTTGTATTTTACATTTCTTTTTATGCACAATTTTGTCTTCCTTTCTTTCCATCATGGGTATAAAACTGGACTCTCCAGTGCTTTAGTTCAGTTCATTTATTAAACTAATTGTTAAATGTCATAAAATAATATTTTGCAGCAAGATCAAAATACCCATTTCATAAATATACTCTGTATAGTCCTAAAGAATTACTCTACTCAGTATTAGAAATTATTAGGATAATTAAAGTCTTTTTCTCAAATGTTTGCTTTATATGCAGTTTCATCAAAAAATAATTCCATTCCACAACTAAAAGTTATAGAAGTAACATTTATGTTGATGTTTATGTTGGAATAATTCAATCTGTTTCCCATAATTAAATTAAAATGCATTTTAATACACCCTTCATGTTACTACATACAGTAATCATATGCAGCTAGTCACCAAAGAGTGTGTCACCATTACTTTGCAGTCAAAATTATAAATACTAAAAGTTATTGATATGGTTATGAAATCCAAAATCAACAGTTTTTATCCTTTTTGTACATTTTTTTTATATATAAAAATTCCATATCCCAAAATAATCTAATCATTTGGCCATATTTTTAAAAAAGCTTTTTATTTAGTTATTTCTCCCTTATGAAGGGAACTCTGACAATACTGTTTATGCAATACTTTCATTTAACAACATTTTTGTACAATTAATGGCATATTGGTGCAGATCAGTCAAGAAAAACTCTTATGATAAGACAGATTATAGAAAAAAATGTATGATTATTATAAACCACCTAACAAAAGCATGAAAAAATTCCGTCAATGAATGAATCAAAATTATAGAGACTGCACATAGACATCCTAGTTGGTCTCAGCTGTGAAAATTCAGTATCTAGTCAAGGTAATATATCTTCACTAGTAACTGAGGCAAGTCTTCAGTGAGGAGGTGAATGTTCTCTCCTTCCGGATGCAACCTTGAGCTTAAACCTGAAATGATATTCTGAATTAATTTCATTATTCAAAAGCAATTTGCTAAAACAAAAATTTTATCAGAAAAGTGTATTTATTGAAACAGCATCTTTCAGGATACAAATTCTAGTATATAAAATATCTGATTCATTTAAAAACATATTTGATAAAACAAAGAATTTGCACTTTGAATTCATCATTTACTTCTTTTGATTATTTAAAACTTACATAGATGCTCAATGATACTATCAAAAATACAATAGTACAAACTTTTAAACTCCTCACTGCTCTGTCTTTCAGTGAACAAGATTTCATTTAATTCCATAATAACTCACTTCTTTTTACAATTCAGAACAATGCTTACCACTGCCTTCAGAGCCTGGTCAAGATCCTTAATCAGGTCATCAGTTCCTTCAAGACCGCAAGAAAGGCGAATAAGGCCATCAGTAATGCCCAATTTGTCTCTGTCTTCCTTAGGCACAGATGCATGGGTCATCACAGATCTGAAACCATAATTGTATATCAGATCTCATAATCTTATATACTAATTTCACATTTGCTCTCCTGATATGGTTTAAAAAACGTAGCTGTTAGATCATCTGGAAATATGAAAAAAATTTGGACTTAACCCACACATGCCAAGATTTCTGTGTGCTCTGTGCACACACACAGTCAGCCTGCTGAGTGAAAAACTTTAGGCAGGGAACACTTACATTCACTTACTCTTTTTATGATTTTGGCTGCAGTACACAACTCTTTTTTAGGAAATTAAGCTAAAGATATACTTTCAGCCTACTTTAGAGGAGCTGTATCCCCTCAATGACCAAACTCAGGGCCAAGCAAGCATAACTGCTTAGAATAAGTTTGACACAGGTGGCACAGTTGACTGACACACCACTGTTGGATTATGACTTTTTGGGGGGGACTACGATCAGAAAGAGCAACCCTCTAAGTTGCCCACACACATCTTGAATATAGTAATATATATCATAATATTTACGTATTTCATAATATTTACATATCTTGAAGTAACATGGACTGTAGCCCCATATCTCAAATAAAGGGCCTCAAACGACAGTCCTTTATTAAACTGATATACTCCTTTTCAAAAAAATAATTTGAAAATCTCAATCAAGTTGAGAGGTTGCAAATACACCAAAGCCCAAAAGATAATCCAGCAGAGCACAACACTAATGCATGAATGGGTTAATTTATTAAAATATAAAACTTATTATCAAAAGAATAAACAAACAGATAAAAAATCTATAAAACAATATTTAGAATTGCCTAGACATACAAGTACACATACATTCACACAACCTACAAACACACCTACATACCTATAAACACAAATATGTACACATGAAACACAAATACCTTTTGGGCCAATCTATGTAAACTTACGGAATTCAAAAGGCTCTCAAGACTTTCAGCCAGTGTGAAGACTTTCAGTTGCTTGAAGAATTTCTTTGAGGTTTCCAAATTGTTCCCCTTAATGTAAAAACTCAGCATACCAGAGTGACCGTAGCACTGCCGCTTAGCAAGCTGTCAGAGAGAGGAAAGACACATGGGAATTATATATTTTATTAAACACTATTTGCATACTGAAAAACTATGTTAAAGAAAAAAGAAAAAAAAATTATCCATTCTCTGTAAAGCTTCTACTATTTATAAATGCATATGTGACTACACACATTGCAAAAGATTGTATACCTGACTTTCCAAAATATCAAAACTGTGTTTTGTTTATACATACAAATAATGATTTTCTATATCCAAGTTGATGTTTTACAGTTACACAATTTTCCAATTGGAGCTCTATTTCAGTAACCTTAAACATGCAAAAAGCCATATATTTTTTTACCATGACTGTATACTTTGCTTGCATTCTGATTACTTTTCTTAACAATTGTCTCACTAAAGCCAGTTTTCCCCAAAAATTAGACGACGTGGCAGGTCTTAAAAATAGCAGAAGACTAAAACAACTCAAGCTTTTCTAATGTGGAAAGGTATGACAGGCAATGAATATCTTCACAATACAAGAGATTTATTTCACCGGTTTCGAATATATCTTCATCAGAAATACATTTCTGACGAAATATTTGAAACCGGTAAAATACATCTCTTGTATTGTGAAGATTTCACTCTTAATCATACCTTTCTACATTGTCAACATGAATACAGTACATCATGCTTTTCTCTTTACAAAGACAGAAAGATACTTCATTATATGTGTATGAGAGACCACTGAAATATTGGCACTGAATCCAAGAGATGCAGAAGAGGTATCATGATAAGACACTTTCCCAGACAAAGAACAGCATGTTATCTTTCTGGGATAAAAGCTCAAACTTCCTGAATAAGGAAAATTTGTAATCAAAGTTTCTTTATTCATGGGCCAAGACTATTTAATAGTGTGCCATAAAACATCAAAGAACTCTGCAGAAGTATTTATAGGAAAATTAGGCTGTTGGTTGTCTTCTTTACCAGACAAACCAGTGGTAATCAGAGAACAAAGGCCAAATCAAATTCTGAATAAAATTCTGTGAGAGTAACAATAAAATCCACAAATGCTACTTTTTCAATCTTACTTTTTTCCATTTACACAAGTTACAAATAAGGTCTAGTTATGTTCAAATGGATTATAGTTATTCAAAAACAATATAAAAGGCAATCATCACCTACATAAAGGCTCACCTAATAAAAGGGAAGAAATGAGAAATTGGATCATATAAGTTTGATTCATCTCTTTTAAAGGCAAGATACATTTTTAAAAGATGTAAGGCTTATCATAAGACTCTTACCTCATGTTGAGGGTGAGATGGAAGTCCAGGATGAATGACTTTTTCAACACATGGGTGGCCCTCTAAGAACCTAGCCACAGCAAAACCATTTTTCATATGTTGCTCCATCCTTACAGCCAATGTCTTTAGAGACCGGTTTAACAGATAGCAATCGAAGGGAGAAGGAACTGGTCCAATGGCATTCTGAAGGAACCTCAGCCTCTCGTGTAAATCATCCCTGGATTAAAGTAATTTGAAGTAATTATAAATACAAATTGGTGAAAAAATAATAATAACAATAATGGTAAGAATTTAGGAATTTCTACTCATTTTTACATATTATTTACTGAAAGCCCAAGAGGGACACTAGAGGCAAATATAAAAGTACCTGTTTGTACAGACAGCTCCCATGATAACATCAGTATGTCCATTCATGTACTTGGTGCAAGAGTGTAGTACAAGATCAGCTCCAAACAGGATAGGGCGTTGCAAATATGCTGACATAAAAGTGTTGTCTACAACCAAGAAGGTATTCTCTCGTGGTTTGACAAGAGCAGCTACAGCAGCAATGTCGACAAGCTTCAGTGTTGGGTTGGTGGGAGTCTCAATCCAGACCATCTTTGTGTTGTCTTTAAAAGCATCAGCAACATTCTTGGCATCAGTTGCATCCACAAAGGTCACTTCAATACCCATTCTGCATAAATAATCATATACATCTATAGTAAAAATACCAAACTGTGCCATTTTTCTTTTTAAAAATTTAACTTTATATTCATAATACAAACCACAAGAACAAAACTTTTGAATACCTAGAAGCCACACGGCGGAAGTAGCGGTTGGTGCCTCCATACAGGTCATCCATGGAAATCACATGATCCCCAGCTGACAGTAAGTGCGTGATGGTGGTTGTAGCAGCCAACCCAGAGGCAAAGGTTATACCTATATTGGATAAGTGGATGAAAGTACAGGTTTTTCAGAGATTCATTCAGGAACTTTAGAAAAGAATCTTACTGGGAAAAAAATAAATGAACAAATAATGTTAATCTCAAATGAAAAGAAATTTATATATATATATATATATATATATATATATATATATATATATATATATATATATATAAATATATGAAAAAGGAAAGTTACTTTGCTTTCACTACAGTATAATACAAAATACCTCTAAATCATGTAACTGTGATCAGATTTAACATAAATTTCTTGCAGAACTTCACAATAAAAAAGTTCAAGATATTAAAAATTGTAAGATTTAAGAAAAAGGATTACAAATATACATAACTACTCTACAATAAAATAAAAGAACTGCCCCTCCTGCCAATGAAAATGAAGGTCACCAAAATGAATTTCTACATGCATAGGGGGTACCGAAGGCACACAGTTGTCTATTAGTGAATAAAGATAATTTTTTTAAGCACAAACCAACAATACTAATCTCACGAAAGTACAATAGATTAACTCTTTCCATTAATAGAGCTAAACTTTGATTCTAATGTTATACCTGGATAATAATTAAAGGTAACCACAAAAGGGGGCACCATTTCAACCTTCTGTACCACTTGCAATTTCATCCCCAGCATGCCACTGAACGTAATAACAGTTTCACATGTATTTGACATAGTACAGCATTCTGTGATGACTGTAGTTGTACATGATAAAATGAAAATATAAGTCATATATCAAGCATATTACCTACATTTCCTAGGATAGAAATATGGTAAATGCATACTCAAGACTTTCATACAAAGCAGACAGCATCAAATGTCAGACAGAAAACCAAGAAATGGATGTACTTGCACACCTATGAATCTAACATAAAGCACACACAAAAAATAAAAAATGCTGTAATTAAATATTATAAAAGATAATGAAGAAAAGGAGATAAACTCTATTTAGTGAAAAGATACAGCATAGATTTTCAAACATTGCTTATTATATACTTGTGAATTATCAGATTTTCAATATTTGCACACAAAGCGAGCACAGAATTTTAAAAAAAATATATGTCTATATCTAGACCTATATAGTCATTTAAAAATATAGAGTAAATCTGTTGCAATAAATCTAAAACGTCAAAAGATAACACTAAAACTATCTGAGAAATATCACATTACACACAATCAAATTACATACTAACAACAATACAATCAGTCAATACAATCAGTATAAAAGAAACTGCACCTGTTTAAAATCTCAATGCCCAATAGCTATCAACATCATTATTATTGTACTTTCATGAAACTATCATTTTCATTTTCTGTCTTTTACTACATAAGACATATTATACTAAAATCAGTTTGATATGTTAGTTAAATCCAACTCAATATCAATGAATAAATAATCAGGCATGCTTACAGTGTTTGGTTTCCTCTGTTGCTGCCAGACATTTCTCCAAACAATTTCTTGTTGGGTTACCAGAGCGACCATACTCAAATTCCTGTTGGTAAAAAAATGTATTACTTTCAAGTACTACTTTCCACTACTTCCACTTTTCCACTCTACTAAATGTACTACTAGCAATGAAAGATCAATGTATAAAAATCAGTGGAAATTAAAAAAATAATCACACTAATAATATCCAGAACTATTAATTCATATTTACATCTCAAATTATCAACCAGTGTTTATCAAAAACTATGACTTGTTCTAAGAAGTAAAGTGTAAATCATTGGTAAGATATTGGGAAGACAACTGCAGAGGATCAGCTTGACCATCTAGCTTCCCAGATATGTTTGGTAATCATTTCCTTCAAACTTGAAGTGTGGTCAATACCCCTCTATATACACAGTACTGCATGATTCTTGTTTAAACTGTATTGTTTATCATTATAAAAGTTTTTAACCTGTTATTTGGAATAATTTGGCAATTTGTGTGACTGCCTCCATGCATAAATGATGGGACAGAATTACAAAAAAAAATCTAGGTCCTCTAGTATTACAAGAAATGGATGAACTTCATGACTTTTTTCAGTAAAATTACGGAATCATTATATGCAACATTTCTTTTAAATATTTACTTTTCCAAAATCTAACACAAACCTTAAAATCTGCTGGGCCATCCTGCTTGAAAGTTGTTGCCATAGAAATTGGAGGAACAACTGCCATGGAGTTCCACTGCTCTGGCTCATTGCCTTCGTGGATAGCACGAGTGGCAAAGTTCGGGTCATTTTTCAGGTAGCCAATTTCTTCTGCCATTTTGATCTAGTTGTTAATGGAGTTCTGTAAAAAATAGAAATAGACATATAGGCTACACTACAATTATTTTTATTCCTGTGTCTAGCTATTCTTCTAACACCATTAGGTTATTTTTGCATTCCAAATACACTTGTATGTGATTAATTTCAGTTATGAACGTTTGTATCAGTGTACATGTGCGTGTACATGTGCGCGTCGACGTCCGCTTGTGCGTGCGTCCTCGCGTCGGCGTTGGCCTGAACGTGCGTACACGCGTCGACGCGACGTCGGCTTGATAAGAGTGCAGCCGTGCAAGCTGCCGTGTACGCGAAGAACGAAGAACGTCTGTGCCTTCGCATATGCATATATAAACATGTTGTAATAATGTGTGTACATCCTAGTGTAAGTGGAAGTACCTTGAATTGTATTTTTTCGATCAAAAATTTTGCCCAAACAACCTTTAGTCAAGAGATTTGAGCTGTTGATTAACGACCCTTTATAGGGTAGCTTGGATCTGCATTTTTTTTTTTTTTTTACATAGATCTTTGTAACCGGCCTAATCTTTGTAACCGAGTCAATCAAATAAGCAAGAGCAAATTCATGACAGGGTCGAGCAAGAGGCCCACATTCAAGAGTGGCCTCTAGTCCCCGTTTCGCCCACGAAGAATTGGTAATAAATTGTACAAAAGCAATAATACAAATGATAAATCAGCAGCAACTCATCCTAAAAAGGAAGAAGTTAATAGTAAGCACATCTCAGAATCTCTCATAAGCTATCAAAACGTTCAACTATGATTTCACATCCTGTGACGATCAAGATCATATCCATCTAGATATTATCAAACGGTTATAATAGTGTTTACAGGGATATTACCTAACTTTATCTGTTACCATACTGTTGCCCTCGCTTAGAAAAATCAAGCTCGCCCCCTCTCCTCGCGCCCCCCTCTCCTCGCCCCCTCTCTCCTCGCCCCCCTCTCCTCGCCCCCCTCTCCTCGCCCCCTCTCTCTCGCCCCCCTCTCCCTCGCCCCCCTCTCCTCGCCCCCTCTCCTCGCCCCCTCTCTCCGCCCCCCTCTCCTCAAGGTTAACCACGGCTGTGGTTAGCTCTGGCATCTTATCAAAGGCGGTATTATAAGGACATCGCCTATGCCGCGATCAGCAGTCCTCAACCGCACGAATTATATTCTACTCTAATCACAAGTTTAGACTGACGGCCCACAACATCCTTTACTGTCAGTTAATACGCAATCAACTTCCCATAAATTTTAAGACTTTACATACTAATCTTCGAGATATCGATTCTAATACACGGAATAAGCTACATTTATTTATAATTTTCGTAAATAAAATATCGATGTTACGTCTCTTAATGTGTCGTGATTGCATTCATTAGGATTGCTTTTCATTCTCCCTATATTTGTAAGAATTGCAATTGGTTGTACCAGTGGCCTTTTTCTAAGCTTATTCGTTGTGTACGCTGCTCTGCATATATGCACGTGCCTTAAACACTTTTTTTTCGTTACAGTAAATGCGAAGGCGTCAGGTGTAGCGAGAAGGGCAAATCCTTTTCTACTAATATCAATAAATCCTTACCTGGATTGGACGTCAAGCGTAATCAAATTCTCCTTTCGATATGCTTAGAACGCGTGTTGTGTCGGGAAAACGAATTGTGTCAAAGCTATCAACTGCAAACCGCTTGCTGGCATGTATTTTGCATAAATTTGTACAAATGACGCGTTCGTACGAATAGTTGTTCATAAGTGACTTAATATAAAGCGTTTGCAGGCGCCCTCGCTTATAAATCTTTTGAGCTGGGATAATGGAGTTTACCATGATATTACTTGTTTTTAACAATGAAGTTAATATAATCGGCATTACCATATCAGCAACGTAATACATTTCTTATCAGTTAATCAAACAACGCTAGGATCTGACAAAAGTCACACGATCCTATTTCTTCTGACATTATAGCGGTCCCTACCGTGCCCCCCCCCCCCACACCCTATAATCGCTGCCTTTAATTTGATTACCCCTTTCCTCGTCTTTCTCGTCCCCTCTTCCCCAACCCCTTCATCTTCCTTGTTCCCGCCATCACCGTTTCCTTCCTCTCCCTCACCATGCACCGTCTCTTGTCGTTCATGCAGCCATGGTCACGGATTGCCTTGGGCGTGATAGCCTAAGCTGGCGATTTAAGACCAGTTCAGTTCAGTTCGACGAATCTGAAAAGCCATAGATCAAAACGCTGTTTCCTTATCTGCTATTTTAGTCAGGCAGTTCTTAAAAGTGAACCAGTTCTGATTCGTTAAAAACATGAACAGCTGCTTGCCTAGCAACCTAATTTTACTCCTTTTACAGTCTGCAATATGCAAGATTGACAAGCCTCGCCAAAGAACTCCCTGAATGCAATTCCGCAAGTTCTCACGTGATCTGCTTGTGAAGCAATTTCAAGCAATTTGAAGAGAAAGAACGGATTGCAGGGTGGTTATTCTTCCTCTCAAGCACATGCACATGGCAGAATGACTACATCTTTTTTCTTGATGAACTCGAACCTCGTCTTATTTTCAACAATTTGTTGTCTCTTGGCTTTCCTCTCCGTGCACGATTGAGATTCTATCTTCAACTAATTCAAAGAGAAAAAAGAACTACGAAAAGCTACAAACCGATTCAAAACAAGGATTTTCCGAAATGCCTTACGGTGCGGACACACTCGCCACAGACTAAATTCCCAGCTTAATGTCACGAAATTTATTAAACAATCTAAGTTGTCGCGACTGGGCGGCCCGAGGGGAAGGCCATGTCCCCCTCCCCCGACATTCGGTCAGCTCGTTAAAATTGAATATTCATATATAAAGCTATGCATATGCACAGAAATAAATACATATCTATCAGTGTAGACACGCATAGCAACCGAAAAGAAAGACAGATATAAGTATATCCATCAGATGGAAAGACAGATATGCATTTATTTCTGTGTATAGGCAAGGTCTATATAAGTACTTATATAGACCTTGTGTATAGGCACGTCTGCATAATGATTATGCTTTGGGTCGGGCCTCGCACATCTTTAACAAACCGGCCGATCGTCGTCTGCTCTTCGGTTGGCAATACAGAATAAGAGCTGAAAGTCGGGAGCACCCATGTACGTACACTGCGAGCGGCGCGCGCCTTTCCGGGATCTCTTTCCTTCGGTGACGTTACCTGTCGGGTCTGCAAATAACGTCTTGTCCTCTGCAAGAATATTACCTTCAATTTGCCTAGCTTTTTGCGTCCGTAACATAAAGATTAACCGGATTCTCTGGCACTGAACATGCTACCTTACACAGAATGGTTCATGGTTAATGGTTAAAAGTAAAATCAATGTGACAGACATCTAATACACAGTTCAAACCGCTTCCTTATCTCAATATCTGGTAGATCGGCCGTCGACAAACTACCATTAGTTACCTGGATAGACTAGTAATCATCAGGTATTTATTAAGAAGGTGAGCGTTTGGTACTAATTAGGTGCTACTTTTTGGGTAAAGAAACTGGTATTGATCTGACAAATAACAAAAAATTAATTACGGGTTTTTCATCCGGGGACATTTACACACTTGGACTCGCTCATTCTTATCTGGTGAATGATTGTGCATGTGCCTTTTTAAGTACGAGTGTATCTATGTAAGTGCATGTGTATGTGTACTTGCAACTTGCACCTTGCACGCGTATGTGTACTTGCACGCGTATGTGTGTACTTGCACGCGTATGTGTGTACTGCACGCCACGCGTATGTGTGTACTTGCACGCGTATGTGTGTACTTGCACGCGTAACTTGCACGCGTATGTGTGTACTTGCACGCGTATGTGTGTACTTGCACGCGTATGTGTGTACTTGCACGCGTATGCTTGCACGCGTATGTGTGTACTTGCACGCGTATGTGTGTACTTGCACGCGTATGTGTGTACTTGCACGCGTATGTGTGTACATGCACGCGTATGTGTGTACATGCACGCGTATGTGTGTACATGCACGCGTATGTGTGTGTACACATATGTGTGTACATGCACGCGTATGTGTGTGCACGCGTATGTGTGTACATGCACGCGTATGTGTGTACGCGTATGTGTGTACATGCACGCGTATGTATGTGTGTACATGCACGCGTATGTGTGTACATGCACGCGTATGTGTGTACATGCACGCGTATGTGTGTATGTGTGTAATGCACGCGTATGTGTACATGCACGCGTATGTGTGTACATGCACGCGTATGTGTGTACATGCACGCGTATGTGTGTACATGCACGCGTATGTGTGTACATGCACGCATGTATGTGTGTACATGCACGCGTATGTGTGTACATGCACGCGTATGTGTGTACATGCACGCGTATGTGTGTACATGCACGCGTATGCATGTATGTGTGTACATGCACGCGTATGTGTGTACACATGCACGCGTATGTGTGTACATGCACGCGTATGTGTGTACATGCACGCGTCTATGTGTGTACGTTATGTGTGTACATGCACGCGTATGTGCCTGCGTACGTATCTGTGTATGTGTTCCTTTCAATCATTCCAGAGGCCCAACTTTCAATTTACATATTTATTCCTTCCCTGTTAGCTTTTTTAGAACTATAAAGGCAAAGTTCAGCTAGAACTTCTCGCAGCCCTCTGCAAAGGTATACGCGGTGCTGGAGATAGATCAGAGTAATCTAAATATAAAGAGCAAGATCACATCCATCAATTGCAACATTATGGTAATACCAAATCACCTTCGCCTATCATTCAAAATAAAATAGTCATGATTCTTGCATGGCAACGATAGAGCATCTTGTTATCTATTAAGTCCTTCAAGGCGTCAACAACAATTATAAATAGATGTCTCACCTTGGTAACATATTGTTAGTGTTCCCAGCATGGATACAAAATCAGCATTTTGAATTTTTACGCTCATAAAAGTTTTATGATAGTGAACGTGAACATTAATAACATCTAAAACACGGTTGCTCTTATCTTCTTCTTAATCAGATACTTTTTATTTCAAAAGATAGCCTACAGGAAATCCCAATATCACTACATTTTTTTCATGATTGGCAGGACCACCTCGGAGATCTCATGTGAAGTCTATCCCACGCTCTTACACTACCCGAGAAATTATCATCTCAAGTATTATGCGAGTCTGTGTAATCGTATTTGTGTGCGTTATAGTATCTTTGCGCCTGTGTAATGGTCTGTGTCTGTGTAGCCGTATCTGTGTGCTTGCGTGGTCGTGTTTATGCGTCAGTTATCATGTCTGTCACAGGGTATGCATGTGCTTCCCTAAGTGTGAGCGTGTGTGTATGTGTCTGTATGTGTGCGTATCTGTGTCTATATGTGGATGTATCTGTGTGTATGTGCTTCCCTTAAACGCGTCAGTTATCATGTCTGTCACAGGGTATGCATGTGCTTCCCTAAGTGTGAGCGTGTGTGTATGTGTCTGTATGTGTGCGTATCTGTGTCTATATGTGGATGTATCTGTGTGTTTGTGATTGCATGTTTGATTGCGCGTGCCTAAATCTTTCTACACGGGCCTGTGTGTCTGTGCGATCCCGTGTGTACCTAACAAGCCCCGCCTTTGCATGGTGCTGTCTGCTTACGAGAATTCGTGCTACTGT